GCACGGTGTAGGATAAGTCTGGATGGGTAAATGTTAGATATTGTAGACCACCCGCGAGGCTGCGATACATAGATGGGTCCGAAACAGGAGAGCCATGGGGTTCCAGTTTGGACTGAGTGTCAGCAGGAGTGCGAGAAGGGTTGCAGTTTGACATGTTTGCTCTTTCAAGAAGTTCCATAGCATACTTGCGTTGGGAAAGGAAGATACCCCTGTCATCACATGTAGCAGCAATGTAACACCCGGTTCCTGATAAGCGTTCTTAAATGAATATTTATCATTTTAGAAAAGGGACTCGACGAGTTGAGGGACCAACTCGTCGAGTAGGAACGGTCGTGGACGCGGGAGTTAAGTGACCTACTCGGCGAGTCGGTATGCCGACTCGGCGAGTAGCAGCTGTCTGGATGAAACCCTAAATTTGAGGGTTTGCACCCTATTTAAACGTCTTATTGCAGCCTCCATCGTCCCTTACGCTCCCAGAACACCTCATATCGAAACCCTAGCCGCTTTGAGTGATCTAAGGCCATTTTTGGTGCTTTTGGGTGGTTTGTGAAGCTTGAAAGGAAGGAAGAAGCTTAGGAATTCGAGTTGGGGCTTGTAGATCCATAGATCTTATTCCATCTTCAGCTCAATCAAGGTAAATGCCCCCTATTTTGGTCTTCCATTTGGTTATTCATCTTTAGGGCTTAGATTTTGGGTGCATTTAGGGCTTTCCAAGCCATTTTCGAATTGTGAAGTGTTTCATGGAGTTCTACTTTCAGATCTGAGTCATTGGAGGGGTCTCATGGCATAAAGGTGCCAACTTTATGGCCATGAGAGCCCCATGCACATTGTAAAGCACCTTTTATGGATTTTTGAGCCAAAGACCCCATGCATGTGCACCAAGTTTGGAACTTTACGCGTAAAATGGACATTAGGAGGCCAGATCTATGGTTTTGAAGTGTTAAGACCCATTTAAATCGACTGTATAGTAATGGTCATGGATGGACTCGACGAGTCGCTCTTAGGACTCGGCGAGTCGAGGTGTATTGACCACCAAATCCTTTCCGAGGATGGACCAGTTGTTAGGAAGGAAGTACCGTGGATGTTTGGACTCGATAAAGGACCTGGGAATCATGGGACTCGACGAGTGTATGAACAGACTCGGCGAGGCCAAGGCAATCTCCCAACCTTTGAAGATGGACTCGACGAGTTGTTCATACAACTCGGCGAGTCATAGACTGGACACGTTCTTATGAGGGAGATGAACTCGCCGGGTTGAAGGAAGAACTCGGCGAGTCGGATGAAGATAGTCCCGATGGTTTGAATGAAGGAGAACTCGACGAGTTCTCGCAAGACTCGACGAGTGGTGTCGAGGTTGGATCGGGTTAATGGAGCATGGACTCGATGAGTTGGTAGACCAACTCGGCGATTCAGGTCAACTGGGTGTTGACTTTGACCAATGTTGGCTTGTTTGAGTTAAGTATTGACCCTGGTTAGGGTTGCTTGTTCCGTTTGATGACTTGAGGGTTGTCGTGTAGGAATTGAGGGGTCGAGGAGAGCCGACCTTCACACCGAGGACAGTTCAGACGCTACACGACATTGAGATGAGTCACATTCCAGTAGAAGTGGGTCTACGGCACCAAGGCCGACCCACTAGTAGTTGTTTAGCTGAGATGATTGTCTTTGTGATAATTATCTGGTCTGCTATTGTTGATATGCGGGTATGCTAGTTTACTTGATATGTGACTATGCTAGTTTGCTATGTTACATGAGATAGTATCAGTAGGAGGGGACTAGTCCCCGAATCGGTCGTTAGGACCAACGGGTAGGTCGGACACCCCATATATGTCTGACAGTATGATAGAGATACGATATTATGTGTTAGCAGTAGGGGTGAAATAGTCCCCGTGTTCGGTTGATAGACCGAAGGGTAGGTCGGCACCCCAGAATAGCCGGACATGGGTAGGTCAGCACCCCAGAATGGCTCGACATGGGTAGGTCAGCACCCCAGAATGGCTTGAAATGGGTAGGTCAGCACCCCAGAATGGCTTGACATGGGTAGGATGGGCGCCCCAGAATTGCCCGGCAGTATATATGCTATGTGATTGTATGGTATGTGGTATGATGGGGGAACTCACTAAGCTTTGTGCTTACAGTTTTAGTTTTGGTTTCAGGTACCTCATCGTCTAAGGGGAAGGAGTCGGCGGTGTAGCAGCGCATCACACACACATGATTTCCACATGGAGTTTTCTGGGAATGTACTCTGATTTATTTTACTTTGACAATATGATTTTCAGACACATTGTTGTATTTCTGTTTGCAAATGATATGGCATGGGAAATGTTTTGGTAAACTATGTTGTGGATTACTTAATTAAAAATGAAAAAAGTTGGGCTTGAAATTTGGGATGTTACAAGCAATGCCCAAAAAATATGATAATTCTCCCAGATCTTTCATGGCAAACTCGGAGGCCATAAGAGAAATAATACGCTACAATAACTGAGGAGTGGAGGCTGTGAGGATAATGTCATCAACATATAAAAGTAAGTATGCTACGTCAGAGTCCCTGCAAAAAATAAAGAGAGAAGAGTCGCATCTGCTGTGAGTGAACCCAATTTTGGTGATATAAGTTGCAAATCTTTGAAACCAAGCTCGAGGAGCCTGTTTTAAACCATATAAGGATTTCTTTAGTTGGCACACGTGATCAGGATGCGTAGAATCTCGAAATCCACGTGGTTGATGCATGTAAACGGTCTCGTGAAGATGACAGTGTAGGAAAGCATTCTTAACATCCAATTGATGGATGGGCCAATGACGAGAGATAGTAAGACTCAAAACTGTGTGAATGGAGGCTGGTTTAACGACCGGACTAAATGTCTGATCACAATCGATCTCGGGCCATTGGTTTTTGCCATTATCAACAAGGCGAGCTTTGTAACGCTCGAGAGACCCGTCCGCCTTGTATTTCTTCTGATATAATCACATAGAGCGGACAACATTAGCCCCCGGAGGACGTGGGACAAGAGTCCATGTGTTATTAGCAATAAGAGCATGAAATTCATCTTGCATGGCAATGGACCAATTGGGGTCTTGGAGGGCTTGAAGGTGGGATTTAGGGAGAGGTGATTCAGTTGTTGTGTGAAGATTTAGACGTTGAATGGGCTTAAAGACCCCGACACGAGAACGAGTAAGCATGTGATGAGGTGAAGGGGTTGGGGTTGGGTTTCCGGTGGAGTTGGCAGTCACGGGTATAGAGTGGTCAGAATCTGAGGAAGAAGGAAGGGGGTTTTCGGCTATGGGAGGACCGAAGGTGGGAGGAGATGGGGGTTGGGCTCGTTTTGAGAATGGAATGTAGAGTGTTCATTGTTAGATAAAAGGAGGTCCCGAGCAAGAGGGGATATGTCACATGATGTGTCAAGAAAAGAGTAGGAAGAAGGTTTATTTGGAGAGAAGGATTGAAATGGAAAGACTGTTTCTTTAAAGACCACATGACGAGAAATAATAATTTTTCGGGTAGAAAGGTCAAAGCAACGAAAACCACGGTGATTGGAAGGGTATCCAAGAAAGATGCATGGGGTGGAGCGGGGTGCTAGTTTGTGAGGAGAAGGGATATGAGGATAGCAAAGACAACCAAAGACACGTAGATGAGTGAAAATGGGAGGTTTATGATAGAGTTTTGTGAAGGGTATGTCATTTTTGATGGAGGAAGAGGGCATAATGTTGAGAAGATGGGTTGCCATATGTAATGCTTCCACCCAAAATGTAGGCGGAAGATGAGCTTGAAATAGTAGGGTAGGAATGACATTGTTGATGGTACGAATCATGCGTTCGGATTTCCCGTTTTGTTGGGAAGTACGAGGGCATGAGAAGCGGAAAGAGATATCGTTTTGGTCATAGAGATTGTGAAACTGTTTGTTGTCAAATTCACCCCCGTGATCACATTGGAATTGCTTGATGTCAGTTTGGAATTGATTTTTCACGAGAGCTCGAAAGTGTAAGAATTTGCTAAATACATCTGATTTGTGTCTTAATGGGTAAACCCATAAAAAATGAGAGAAGTGATCTAGGAAAATAATATAGAATTTTATTCCACTATTACTTGGAATAGGAGATTCCCACAAATCAGAATGAATAATATCAAAGCATGCAGAAACATTAGAGTTGGATCTAGAAAAAGGTAATTTAATATGTTTTCCAAGTTGACATGCAAAACAATTGACATTAGTAGATGTCTTATTACATGAAATAAAATGACTAGAAACTAATTTATTGAATACATGAGCGCCAGGATGGTCAAGACGTTGGTGCCATAAGGAGGGACTGGTGGAGATTAGAGCAACTGGAGATGGAGTGGTTGATAGAGCAGGGTATAAATCTCCATAGCTGTCACACCTAAGCAGGATCTGATGAGTTTCCAAATCCTTCACAGAAAAACCACAAGGATCAAATTCAATGGAAACATTGTTGTCAGAAGTAAAACGACGAATAGATATCAAATTTTTAATGATGTTAGGTGTGACAAGAATATTATGAAGATGTAAGGCTTTATGTGGAGTATGTAAAGAGGAGTGACCGGTATGAGTGACGAGAATAGATTGTCCATTGCCAACAAAAACGGATTTCAAAGTAATATTATTGCTAAAGGATGATAGACTACCTGTGTTAGATGCAAGGTGAGAGGTTGCTCTAGTATCCATGTACCAATGTGCATCTACCTCATCATTAACCGACATTGCATTGAAAACTTGAGTTAGGTCGGTTGGCTGGTCACTTGAAACCGGTGAGAACCATTGAGATGGTGTTTGGAGAGTGGGAGAGACCGAGGCATGGAACGCATGACCAGCAGCAACAGCAGGGGAGTTGACAGGTGGGTTGACTGGTGGTGGTCCGAGGATGCCCTGTTGAGCGTAGGTAGAAGGGCGTTGTGGTTGCTGAGGGCTTGGGCGATAGGCGGACCAGAATGGAGGGTACCACCAGGGAAAAGGCTGCCAAGGCAGTTGGTAGGGCTGCCCAGGCATCTGTTAATGTTGCGAGGCTGCGGATGACCCAGCAGGGGGCTGGAGACACTGCTGTGAAGTGGCACGGCCACCACGTCGCTGCTGAAACTGGCGGCGTTGTGTGCTGCTTTGTGAGGAGCCGCTATTGTTTCGAGTGTTGTTGCCAGTGAGGAGAACCGAATGGGAGGAGGAGTGATCAGAGTGCGAAGCCTGTAGGGGACGAGAATTCTTGAAACGTTGTTCTTCAACTAGCAGCTTTGAGCGGGCTTGAAGGAAGGTTGGTAGAGGGTCTCGGTGGCGCAGAAGAGTGGCTATGTGCTCATATTGAGAGGAGAGACCATTGAGAAGGTGAGCAACCAGAGTTTTCTCGGGTATGGGATTATCAATGTTTGCCAACAGGTCTGCAATAGACTTTATCCTTTGACAGTATTGGGCAATGGTAAGATCTCCAAGAGTCATGCTTCGGAGTTCATTGTCAAGCTCAATGGCCCTAGCATCTTTGTTATCACGAAAAAGAGTTTCGAGACAGGTTCACACCGTGTGAGAGGTAGAGTTTTTGGTGAGAATCATAGTGAGAAGAGGTTGGGTCAGAGTACGGTATAACCACGTTTTCACAACAGCGTCAAGTTTGAACCATTCTTCATCATTGTCTGATGTGGGTTTTGATTCACCAGTGAGGAACTCTCGTACACCAAATCCACGACAGTGAGTCTCAAAGAGCTCCTTCTAGGCATCGTAATTAAGTTCATTAAGATCAAGGATTAAAGGGATGTATGTCTTGATGTTGAGAACTCCATATGGTTTTTGATTGTTGGATGATGAGGATGCTTCACCGACCATTTTAGAAGAGGTGAGAAGAAGAGATGTGAGAGAGGATAAGAGGTCAGATGACGGCTAGGGTTAATGTCGTGAACAACAGGATCGGAGGTATAGATGAAGAATAGGGAAGAAATCTGATACCATGTGAATCAACGATTTTCCCCTTGAAGTCGATCTTCATTACGCAAACATATATATACAGATACAATGATACAATTGGGCTATACTAAACATGGGCTAAATACAATTGGGCTATACAGAAATATACACTAATATATATCTGATGAATTTAAACAAAAAACATAGCAGATTAATTAAAGGGAGAACTATCGATGCTTAAAGACAAAAAAGGTTCATATTAAACCTTGAATACAGACAATTGATGAACAAGTAGCATATGTAGTGTAGTAGTAGTAGTAGTAGCAGCAGTAGTAGTAGTAGTAGTAGTGTATATATATATATATATATATATATATATATATGTATATATATATATATATATATATATATATATATATATTTGTGTGTGTGACCCTAATCATCTTGCCTTCTAAGGTGGTGTTTCTTTTTGAGTTAACATAGCAAGAGGAACTGGTTCTAGAGAAGATCGTCAATAAAGCTTCATTTGGTAGTCGATGAAGGAAGTGTCTAACACAAATAAATCTCTGCTTTTCCAAAATAGGTATTCTTTGCCCGACTCTAACACTCCAAGTAGTTCTATACCCTCTGTTTGTTTTATTTATAATACTAAAAATTATGCATACTATAATCTATAATTTTGATTGTGTAGATCAACCATGGAGGCGAAGTACAAGTCTCAATCGAAAGGCTAAATAGATTGTGGATAATCAACATGATGCTTGATTGGCATTGACAAGAGATATTCATAGAAATAAATTCATTGTGGAATCGGTAGTATTGTCTGCAACAGTTGGAATTACGATGAAGAACTTATGCACTACGGAATTCCATACATAGGAGAAAGCAGCGAAAGAAAATAAAGACAGTTGATCGAATCTAGTTTTTTTATTACTTGTTCGTTTCATGCTTAATATTCTAACCACTATAAAAGATGATTTGAGACTCAAATCTAGATTCAAATTGTATTATTTGCTATTGATTATTACTAATAAAAGTTTGTATCAATAAGTGTTATTCAGTCTCAAAAGAAACATAGTTGAGAGTAAATGACATTGTATTTGAGATTGATATTTAGTTATTAAAAAAAATTAGGGACTAAATAACATTGTATACGAGACTGATATTTAGTTATTGAAAAATCACATTACGAACTGAATGAGGTATTATCATAAACTAATATTTAGTCCTCAAAAGATAGTATTAAAGACTGATATGATATAAAATTGGAGTTTCAATGAAAAAACATTAGAGACTAAATATGGTACTATCAAAGACTGATTTTTTGTCTTTGATAATTACATGTATTAAGGATTGATTTTTAGTCCTTGATACATAAAAAAACCATTATCTAGGACTAGCTATTTAGGACTAGCTAGGGACTAGCTAAATCAGTCCCGGATGCCCATCAGAGACTGATTATTGACCATTTGGGACTGATATTGTCAGTCTTTGATGCCCTTTTTTCTTGTAGTGGTAGGTTTTGATATTAGTAATGTCATACACCTTATGTGTAGGTTTCGTAGAAGAGATGCTCTCGCCTGTCATGGAGATGAGAGAGAAAGAAGAAGACAGATGATGAAGAAGAGGAATGAGAGTGACAGGGATCAGCTAGGGATGAGAATTATGGCTCTGGTACCATGATAATCAATGATTTTCCCGTAATAAACATTTCATTACTGAAAGGTATAAATACAAGGAGGCCATGGGCCGATACAAACAATACATACACTTTTAATGGGCTAAATACCAACTAATACATAATACACAACATGAATATAAGTCCGCTGATAGGTTTGATATACCCCCAAAAGTAAAGAGTAAGGAGCAACATGAAGCTTGGAAGAAGAAAACAAATCGAGGAATGAGTAGCAGTTTGGGTAGCTGTAAGCAAGTTGGTCCTTATCTAAAGAGAAGAATTAAAGTTGTATATCCATTTGTGTAACATTATTAGATAATTACATATTTTTGTATTTATCCCATTGTGTTTATCAGAATATTTTATGTTTCCTTAAATAGTTATCTTATGTACTTTATTTAAACATAAAAGATATAGATTTACGGCGTGTTCGACAAAACTAACTCCGGTAGCTGATAGCGTGTAACGGGTAATGAATTATATACTAAAGAATTTAGAGATGTATTTAAGAACCGGACCAGTTTGATATTTTCATTCAATGCCAACAATGAGATATAAATACAAATATAAGAGTCTTGCTAAAATGATAAAAAGAAACTTATTCTAAAGAAAAGATAATCACACGAACTAGATAAGATAAATATAATATGAATTCTTCACTCCCCTCAAATTGGAACGTGGAGATTCCAAACATCCAACTTGTATAGCAAATAATGGAAGCGCTCAGTCTCGAGCAATTTGGTGAAAATGTCAGCAACTTGATATTTGGTGATGATATATCGGGGTTCTTTGTCTTGAGACTCAACTCTTTCGTGGAGAAAATAACAATCTATTTCCACATGTTTAGTTTGCTCATGAAAAAACGGATTATTTGCCATATTACGTGTTGCTTCGTTATCACACTAAGATGGTGTAACACCATTATACGCAATAGAGGCTATTTTAACAACATTTTTTGGATTAATTTAATTAAATTATAATAGAAATCACAATATAAAAAATTAATAGTTGTTTGGGCTAAGCGCAGTTCACATGAATAACTATGTACAAACATCTATTAATTTTGTTAAGCCAATATACACAATAGAGGTTGCTTAAACAAAGTTTTTTGGATAAATTTAATTAAATTATAATCGACACAAAATATAAAAAAATAATAGATGTCTGGGTCGGGCAAAGTTCATATGAATAATTATATATGAACATTTATTAATTTTGTTAAACCATATACACAATAGAAGTTACTGGGAAAATGACTTATAAGCCCAACGAAGTTTTCAAATCGTTCAAAAAACCAAATTATGTTTTGTCTGTTCAAGAAAACCCAACGAACTTAACCTTTTGTCTAAAAAAGCCCAACTAACTTACACTTTCGTTCACTTCTCATTTAGGGTTAATCAACTAATGAAAGTCAACGAATGATATGGCTTATGATGTGTAATTAAATATCGGAAAATGACTTGTAAGACCAATGAAGTTTCAAAACCGTTCAAAAAACCTCACTCATGTTTTGTTTGTTGAAAAAACCCCCAACGAACTTATGCTTTTGTTCAATTCTCATTAGAGGCAACCATATTCATTAGGTATACAACTAGTTGGCAAATGACATGACACTATATTTAATGACATGGAATAAACATATTAGAATTGCCCTTTATATATCGATTTAGGGTTTGGAGAAGAGAAAAACGAACGACGTCTGTGTTCGATCTCTTGTAATAGCTACTTCTTATTCTTCCTCTCAATCGTTGATGACCAACTCAAGATCTACAAAGAAGATATTTGATGATGAAAACCCTTGTGGATGTGGACGCCCTTCTTGGATTTGGACATCTAGAACGGAGGATCATCCGGAGAAAAAAATTTCAGGGCTTGTTCGAACAGATGTGTAAGTGTAATTGAAAGCTTTATCATGTCCATACTCTATCTATTTGTTTGGTTTCTTTCAAAAACAAAAACTTATAAAAATGGACATGATAAAGCTTTCAATTACACTTACTCATCTGTTCGAACAAGCCCTAAACATTATCTCTGGATGATCCTCCATTCTAGATGTCCAAATCCGAGAAGGGCGTCTACATCCACAAGAGTTTGCATCATCAAATATCTTATTTGTAGATCTTGAGTTGGACATCAACGATTGAGAATAAGAAGAAGAAGTAGCTATTACAAGAGATCGAACACAAACGTCGTTCGTTTTTCTCTTCTCCAAGCCCTAAATCGATATATAAAGGGCAATTATAATCTGTTTATTCAATGTCATTAAATATAATGTCATGTCATTTGCCAACTAGTTGTATACCTAATGAATTTGGTTGCCTCTAATGAGAAATGAATAAAATCGTAAGTTCGTTGGGTTTTTTTCAACAAACAAAACATGATTGGGGTTTTTTGAACGGTTTTGAAATTTCGTTGGTCTTACAAGTCATTGTCCGATATTTAATTACACGTCATAAGCCATGTCATTCGTTGACTTTCATTAGACGGTTGACCCTAAATGAGAAGTATAAGTTAGTTGGGCTTTTTTAGACAAAATGTTAAGTTCGTTGGGTTTTCTTGAACAAACAGAACATAAGTTGGGTTTTTTGAACGGTTTGGAAACTTCGTTGGGCTTATAATTCATTTTCCCGAAGTTATTTTAACCACGTTTTTATATGATAATTTATTTAAATTATAATAGACACGACAATATAGAAAAATATGTATTATCGTATATTCGCAAAAAAAAATATATATCAAGTTCAGTAAGTTCCCTTGATAGAACAATTTATTCAAATTATTTGATATATGTCTAATATCTAAATGAACTTAGTCATCATTGAGAACGCGAGAATGAATTTAATCTCATTTTTTCATTGCTACTTAAACACTTCAGCATACCGGCATGACGGTAAAGGTAATATTCATATATGAATATGCAATGCCACCACCTCCTTTTTCTCCACCACCTCCACAACCGCCAATATTCATATATGAATATGCAATGCCACCACCTCCACAACCGCCATTGCCATTGTCACAGCAACCACCTCCTCCCTTTTATCCCATAAACAATGGTTGACCATAAACTCTAAAAAAGAATATAAATAATGTAAATAATCACCCATACAAGCATGTTATTATTTTGTCAAACTATGCCGAAAAATGCTTTAACGTCCAACTAACCGAATTTAAAGGTTGGTAATGGGATTTGACAATGACTGAAAATTAAATTTGATAGCCGATTAATGAAAAGTAGCTAATATATCTCTTGATTGATAGAATTCACGGATTTCACTTGATTTAGAATTAGAAATGAATAGAGATAAAATGGAAAATGTAACAAAATTGAGGGAAATTCGAAAATTGGTGATAAAATGAAGAGATTGGCTCTATCAGTTGATGCAAACCATCCATGTCAATTTTTCATGAGCTCCAGCCCTTTGAGAGCTTTCGGTACATATAAGATGAACATCACAACTTCCAACAGATCAAAAGTTATGTATGTTTTAAGTTGGAGATCTTGGCACACCTTTTGTCGGACTCTCGCTTATCCATAAAGGATAATGTTTAAGGTCTCAATATGTTCTACATCATAATGGCCTAATCCCGTATACATGTACAATTACAACATTAAAGATCATTTCCGGAAGTTTAATAGAATTCTAAGTTAATTACAACTATAACTTATCACAAGTCTAAATTTTCCTAATCCAAAGTATAAGGTTTCACATATTGATTATGAGAAACACGAACTCTTACTTCATCCACAATGGACAATACCGGTTCCAATAGTAACTTGGTATGAACGATTTTCATGTTGTACATATAAGTAACTAGGTTATAACCCGTGGAAACCACGGTTGTTAAAAAAATATAATAAAATAAATAATTATTTAATTATACAATTGATAATTAATATATAATTAATGTGAAAAGTAAAATAAACATAATATTTTAACATATATTTTGAAAGACTTATTTTTATATAACATTGGAAGTTTTATATGTCAAATTAACATCCTTATCCAAAATCAACAACATCAATCATTTTATCAATCATTTTCTGCTCTTTACATAGAAAGTAAATGGTTTGTGTTTAAATATAATACATAAACGATGTGTTTAAATAAATTAACATAAATGAAACCTTATTACACCAAATTTATATAAATGATAGCTTATAAAATAAAATTACAAAAATGAGTATAGTTAACTTTGTTTACAGAAATTAGTGTCTTCTCGACAGATGATGAATATTATTCGTTTAATGAATAGTTAAAATCCAACAATTAATTTCCTCTCAAAGATATGACCTTTCCTATAATTACACCACTACTGACATTGATTCTGCTATTATTGACACAATATTATGATTGTTTTATGAAAATACATATTTTAAAATTATTAAGTGATGGTCTAGGAAACTCAAAAAAAAAATAGTTTAAATTGTAAAATGAGTTAATGTTGGCAAATAGTCTCTTTTGGAAACATGTCTAAAGTGAACAAAAAGTTCATCATTTTCAATTTGGTGATCTAAATAAGAATGGACATTAAATCCAAAAAATGGACATTAGACACCTACTTATATGCGTATACACAATCATACATACTTTATTGTTTTTTTTTTATTTTGTCACATTTGATATGTGAAACATTTGTGGCACACTCCAAATCCTCAAACTAATTTACTCCTATCGAAACCAAATATAATATTCTTCCAAATGTGGTCTCACTTCTACATATAAACGTATATTTATATTAAAAAAAGTAATGCAAATTAAAAGCAACTCATGCTAAGAGTTGTGGTCTATATCATTTACTAAAAAAAATCAAAACTATTTTATGAACGAAGATGAAAATGAACATTCAAAACAATATATTATTTATTTCATAATTAATCTAAACACCGACCAAAAACATATATATTAAAACCATAAAACATCCTAATTAACCTCAAGATTCACACCAGGAATGACATATACTCCTTATTCTTCACATGTGCCAACCTGAAAGCCAAGTTAAAAGCAAAGTCTAGTAAAAACTGAAGTTAAAGATGCATTAAAAACATTCACATGATAGACAACTTTCACTACTTGTATAAAGCCCATTACGACAATAGTATTGTACTTATACTTTTTACACATTAAAAACTTGCTTAGTTTGTTTACTGATAAAAGCAACAATATTTTATTTTGACCAATAATATCAATGTACTTACATTTCACTGTTATTACGGGTAAAAAATGTAAGTATATTTCTGTTACGTGTAAAAGATAAATTACTTCATATGTATAAACCACTAAAATGAATCTATAATCATTAACATGATTATTATGTTAATCACTTACACATTTATAACCACCAAGATAATGCAAAAAGAAAGAACTGCCAATGAAATGACTCTCAACCTGTTGGCAAAAAAACAACAAATGGGTAAGAAAAATTGAAGATATATATTATGAATGAATAATGCAAGAATCAAAACCAAAGCATCAAATGCCTGTGTTCACAAATTCAATTTTGCTTGGTTTATATGATGAATGAATGATACAACTAAAATTGTTCCTCATTAAGATAGTAATAAATCATATTTAAGTATGCTACTGGCGATCTCTTAGATTACCTTCATCAATACCTGAAATAGGAAACAACATTTTCATATATTTATGACGAATTGTGTATTAGTTACAATTGATAACCAACTAATATGTAGGACATCATTCTATAACAACTTGTATCTTTGTCTACATTTGCTTCACTTATTTATATGTGCTCGTGACAGAGATGGACATGCGAAAACTGATAATACAATGTCTCATTTTGATACTATCTAACAACAATTAGCATATAGGCAAGGAAGATACCTTTAGTAGAGGGGCTTTCTCCAAAAAAAAATCTCATCCTCTTTAGTGGGTCCATCATCCATTTTTCTGAAATATATATATATATATATATATATATATATATATATATATATAAACCTACAATTATCACCCAATACACACTAATAGATGATTATCAAAAACCATTTCAATCCAACCTCCCAGCAAAGGAGCATACTAAGACGGCACCACCATATCTAAGAAGAGAGAGAAGAGGCATATTGATTTATCGTTGTCAAAAAATTACAAATTAATGGTTCACTTAGGCTTTTTATTGAGCACATGGCAGGCGAAACAAATTTTACAAGTTAGTTGCATCAATAACTCAAACAATGACATATGCAAACAAACAAAGCAATATGAATAGCCTATACAACAATATGAATAGCCAGGGAAGAAGAATTTTAAGAACTAACTTGAAATCGATGGTTGTAGCTGAATAATCTTTAATTCCTTGGCATAAATCAAACGTATCTTCAAATAGTTGCGACTGAAATTGAGTTTGATGGGTTGAAGGTATATACGAACATGATTTTGATGCTACAAATAAAATGAATCTTCAATTACATGCCACTAAAATAGAGGTTGATGGGTTGGAGGTATATATGAACAGGAAGCCCTAGCCGTCGTTGTAATCTTGGATATAATTACGATCCTAATTTCTTTCCTAATGTAAATGAAATTCAAATTGGTTTGCTAATTTATTGGGATATATGGCGATTAAAATGGATTGTGGGATTAGCTATAACTATACCAAATAAGCGGGAAAATATTTATGAAATGGCTATAGAGGTGACACGTGGCAAAAGAGGGCTTTATAAAAACGACATGTGGCAGCTAGAGGATTCATTTATTAGAAGAGAAGATAAGTTGCCGTAGAGTTTTGAAAAAGGAGTAATGATTACATGATGATTATGCCCCTTGAAATGTGTCACGACTCAACCGTTTCTCAATAGATACCAAACTAATGACTACGTTAGTATGAAGATAAATTGTAAGCCAATCCAGAGTTTGTGAAAGTTCAAAACGGGAGTCAAGGGACTGAAACTGTAGACGTAGCATACGTCTAGGGATGGTTTCTGTAGTTTAGGGTGAAGTTTATAAATGCATTATTTACATGAAATCCCATATGGTTTTCATGCACCAAACATTAAGGAGAGAAACGAAATACTCATGTGATTTGTTTTGTTACTTGCACCACCCTCAACTATTATCACCTTTATTTGCTCACACAAAACAACACAAACAAAAAGCCCATATCTTCACCACATAAATGATAAAACCCCAATATTAATAACTTCCCACGCCCAAAGGACTAAGTGAGTCATAATAACAATGGCAACATCTACATCTACTAGACAATGGGTCTGCTTAGCCATCTTAGCCCTCCTGGGCTCAACCCTAGCCATGGCTCACATGGTCAAGCCTCCTAAAGTAGCTGACTTGGATCATGAGGAAAAGCCACCTAAACCTGCCAGATTACGTAAGCTCCAGATGGACGATAGCAGTGAAGATGAAAGCTTACGGATGGATGATGGAAATGGTGCTCAGGCTAGCGGTTGTGACGGCCGCCAGGCTCAGGCGACCACCCCTGGTTGGGAGGAAGGTGGAGGAGGAATCTATGGAGGAGGCCATGGCAGTGGCGGCGCCACCTTCGGGTTTCATAAGATCAACCCGTTTCCGGCATTCCCGTTTGGAGCTTTTGTGCCAGAGGTGTCCTCATGGGGAGAGGGAGGTGGCTATGGTGGTGGATCAAATGCCAAATCAGGTGATGCATATGCTAAAATCCACGTTAACTCCATTTATGTACAAAATTATATATAAACAGACAAGACACTAAATAACTGATTGTTGACACACGTGGCATTCAGTCTCACAGCTTATTAAATGATTATTTTACAGGTACAGGTAGAGGTGTACAATGTCATTGTTCAAATGGATATGCGATGCACTACACCATGAGCCCCATCAACTTTCCACCCATGGCCATGGATCCCACCATGAAAAGGGCCGGTCCTGAAGACATGGCTCCAACCTCATCACCCTAAACACCTTTTCTTTTCTATGATATCACTAATTATTGTATTTTCTGTCAAAAACATCTTTACTCAATTTATCATCTTCCTATAAATAAAAATTATTAGGTATGTCGCATTTATTTTGCTTCTTTTCTCTACTTTAGGAGACCAAATCAAGTCACAAAAGTATGACTATGATGTAAATTTTTTAAGCACACTTACACTAATTTTCAATTTAGTCACTTAAATATTTATAGACGTGATTAAACCATTATAGACTTTTGGTCATTTACAAAATATCCTTTTTCCTACGATTTAACTACAAAAATAATTAGATGGCCAAATCAATACGATTTTCTGTATTTTTCCTAAATAAAAAAGCAAATTCTTAAATGACATTTTATGCACATTACATACCGCATATTCATTTGATGTAAGCAACTGTACAGCCATAATTAGTCGGACCATCCTGTTCAAACTTGACAACCCGCGGATGTTTTTTTAATATTTGGAGCGCGCATTCCTTCACAACTCCCGTACCCATCCCATGGATTACAAACAAAACCGAGCTAGACCCGGTTATATTAATCGCCAAATTAAGATTGTGAGACGCTTCCTCCACTCGCATACCACGTAAATCAACCGTGTTTTTTGATGTCTGCAACACCGGTCCATACGAAACCACTTCACTATTGCTTCCCTCTGATAAATTCTTAAGGCTTTTAATCCTCCGTGTCCCTCCCTACGCACACATATGCTTCTCGATAAAAATAGTTATTGGAAAAAAAAAAAAAAAATTGTAATTCCCCTATTGCATACCTGTTTTTTTATGTTTGATTTTGAATTTGGAGTCTGAATGATATCAGTGTTGGGAAGAGGTGTTATGGTGTTTAGATTCACACGAACCCTAATTTTTCCATATTGAACAAGGGCAGTGCCATCGGTTGTGCCAGGTGGCTCGACTATAGTTGCCTGTTTGTTTCCTAATCCGCTCACAATTACTTGGTCTCCAAGCTTTACTGTAAATGTAGACCTATCGGTTTTTATGACAGATGACTCTTCAGCATTCTTGTGAGATTCAACAATTGATGAAATGGCAGATTCGGATTCCTTAAGAAGCGTATTAAGTTGATCAATACTTGTAGTTCTAATTCGAGCTTCAAAATCCTCCACTATTTTCTCTAACTGAGATTTCACTGTTGCTATTTCCTTTTGGATTTTTTGAGTTTCCTTCGCCTTAAGAGCAGCCTCACGTCCCACAAGATCATCTGCCTCATCCCTGATCTTTACAATGGAAAGACAGAGTGTAAAATACATAGCTATTTCACACAAAGTGTTTGTTCACTATATCAAACAAAGAAAGCGTACCTCATTATACAGAGTCATGGTATTCGAATATATATCTGCAGCTCTGTTAGCCTGAATTTCCAATCTATTTTTTTCTTCCATTAACGACTGATAAAGCAAACCTTTTCGCTTCTCAGCCTTATCAGGCATCAATCTTTTCACCCATGTTTGTGCTCGTTCAACTATTTTTTCATCAAACCCTATTGATTTAGCAATGGTCAATGCATTTGACTCGCCTGTGCTTCCCCAAAGTATTTTGTACGTGGGTTGTAAAGTCTCTAAAGAAAACTCCATTGCTGCATTCTCATATTGGGAATTCTTTTCCTTTAAAAGAGATAAATCTGCATAATGTGTAGTTGTTACTGCTAAGTTGACTCTATCTTTAACATACTCTAATATGCTGGTGGAAAGTGCCACCCCTTCTGATGGATCAGTTCCACTTCCAATTTCATCGATAAGAATGAGTGATTGTCTTGAGGTCACTTCCAACATCTTGCAAATTCGTGACAGGTGGCCACTGAAAGTTGAGAGGCTTTGTTCCAGAGACTATAATTATGAGAATGAGAATGTCAGAATGTTATATTGAGTTAATTGTTGCTTCTTTTTAACTACAAGTGTAGAGTATTAGTGTATTTATTACCTGGTGATCTCCAATATCTGCTAAAATAAGATCAAACCATGGAAGGGTTGGTTGATTTCTAGCAGGTAAATACATGCCAGCCTTCAGCATAATAGATGCCAATCCTAATGTTTTCATGGAAGCAGTTTTTCCTCCAGTGTTAGGCCCTGAGATCACAACCACTCTTGTTTCATCTCTGACTTTGATGTCAATAGGAACAGGAAATGGTAATGAATCAAAAGATTGATGACCCATCACTCCTTGTTTCAGAGAGGCTTCAAGAAGCAAAGGATGGCGTATACCTTCAATATCTACAGAACCAGAACCACATATGAGTGGACATACTCCATTGATCCATCGAGCATGAGCAGCTCTTGCAATTGCAAAATCAACCTCTAAAACTCTATCTAACAAGTACTTAATCTCAGACTCTGATTGTGAAATTTCAGATGTGAGCAACCCTAATATGGCTTGTTCTTCAACCCTCTCAGCATTTGAAAGCCTTACTTCCATGTTGTTCAAGTCTACAGCCTCTTTGGGTTCCATGAAATATGTTGCTCCAGAGCTGCTAACATCCAAAACGACACCATTTGGAAGTAATGATTTATGAGAAGCTCTGATGCCAACACACATTCTTGACCTACGTTTGGTTACCAATGGTTTGTCAATACCTCCGGCTAGAAAAATCTTAGTTGATATGTCTTTCAACAGAGAGTCCAGATCTTCCATGTTGCTTTTTCTTTCTGACCTAATGATCTCTAGATCTTCACTGGCTCTGTCGAGTATGGTTGAGAATTTGGAGTCTATACAGTACTCTATTTTCTGCTCCAGATCCGTTAAAAAATTGCAATTCTGAAGAATTTCAAGCAGAGGATAGTACCTGGTTAATGCAATGAAGATGATATCCAATGAAACTAGTTCTAACTGAAATAGAATGTGAGAAGGCACCACACTCAACGATTTGTATTTTACGATTCTCTTTGTATTTTAGGGCTAATTTAAACAACGACTTGGATCGGGAATCAAATGCGCTAGAAGAATTGAACGAATGATGCTAGTTTAAATCTATATTGAATTCGGTTAAAAGTATAAGGATTTCAAAGAGGTAACAGAATTGAAAGCAAAAACCGACCTAGTGTTAGCAAACGTCACAAAACTGTCAAGACGATCTGCAGAATACAAAATAGAATCAAGCTTTAAAGGTGTATAGTATACCTTTCCGATTGGAGAGAAATCTTCTTCAACTGTTCGAACAGATCCCTAGCCGATCGGAAAGTCCGTTTTACCGCAGAAATTTCTCTTATGGAAAGCAACTGACGAGCGACTGAAGACTCGATGATATCCGAAACATCTTCGATTCCGGAGAAATCAGGCGGAAAAGGAAGCGCAAATGCAGCGGACGTCTGATTGAGGAGCCTCCGGCTCTCCTCTGGACTCCTTCCTATAGGAACTAGACCATCTAGGGCAGCCGAAGTTCCCATGGTGGTAGAAGTGAAGGAAGAAACCTGGGTACACACCGACGGCCATTCGAGAATCCTGAACGTCTCGTCCTGGAGTGACTCCGCGAGTTTGAGTCGGCGATTCGTAGTATCCGCCGAGCATTTAACTAAACGGGCTTGGGTTTTGAGATTGGGATATGAGTGTTTTAGTTTCATGGGAGTGGTGATAGAGAATACATTGCAGAGCTCCATGGACGAATGGAGCTTGGATTGCTATTCTCTGTAAGAAGTAGTAGGACATAATCTTATCCATGCCGGTGGAGGAAAAACGGCGCGGAGTTTACTGAATTTTGAGTCAACAACATTAACGGTTTTAGGTTTTCTACCTTCATAACTTCGAAATTATTATTAGATAAAATTGTAAATATGATATATGTATTTTTTTGGGCTTTGGTATTTTTGTTTGGATTGTTAGTCTTTCTAACTTAGTTTCGACTTAGTTTGGTTGAGATTTGGTATTGTAATATCCGTGGAGTATTTATTTTTTATTTTTCTTTTATTTTTTAAAATCTATTTAATTATTTTAATAATTAAAAATAAGAGGGTCTCTTTCTCTCTACAACCTCCATTCCGGCCACCCTTTCGCCACCTCTCTTACTAGCCTTCATCCACCATATCTTGACTCTACTATCGTCATAAAAAAACCACCACTTTATTCCCTCATCACAGAACCGTCAATCTACACCATAAACCACACTTAGCTCTTTTCACAACCTTGACCAAACACCACTCAAACCCATCCTTATACATCCTTTTTTACCGCCACCATCAGCCACCGATTACAACCAAAACACCAATTGAAAACTTTCAGCATCAACCTTCTAAATCAGCCACCAATCACCACCATAAACACTCATTCGCCCCTTCCTTGAACCACAACATCAACCACCCATTACCACCATCGTTAATCGCCATCAACCTAGCCATAACTTTCACTGCTCTTAATGATCTTAGTCCTGCCAAATCATCAAAAGAAACACACCTATGTTCTCGTATTATTGCTAACCTGAGATCTCTATTCAGAACAAATAAGAAGAATAGGGAGGGAGACTTGTAATCGATTATGAAGAAGACACCATGTAGGCGTCGATCGAATGTGAATTTTTTTTTTGGAGATTGTCAATCGATTTTGAGAAGAAGAGAGGTTGTGATTCTCAATGTCGATCGCTCGTGAGGTGAGCCACAATAGTAAATGGCAAGAAAAAACCCAACTGCTCTCATCACCTTCTTCGTCTTTAGATTTTGAGATAATTTTCAAACCATCTTACCCATTTCCTTTCTCCGATTCAAAACCCCGACCTTTCCTCTCCATCCCCTTATTCTTTATAGTCAAGAATTATGGAGAGTTGGGGTTCCTTTTAAACAGGATCATACGAAGATAGATAGAGAGAGAGAGAGGGGGGGATAGAGAGAGAGATGTATATATATTGTAATAAAACTTTAAATTAAATATAGACAAAACTGAAAAAATGGTCCTTGTGGTATGCATTTTTTCTGAGGTTCAGTCCAAACTTTAAATTATATTAAGAGGTCGGTAGCGGTGGTGGAGAAAAAGATGAAGGTCTTACGCAACAAGGAGATATCTTTGGTAAAGGTTCAGTGACAACATCGGAGAGGCTCCGAGTGGACGTGAGAGCCGGAAACGGAGATGCGGGAGCATTATCCTGAATTATTTGCAGCATCGGACTTCAAGGACGAAGTCTAGTTCAAGTGGGGGTGAATTTTAACATCCCGATGATGAGGTATTTTCAATTTTAACCATATATATGAAGGAATATTTCATTTTGTCCATTGTGCATGAGAAAGATTGCTTAAACGGCCCATAGTGGCATTTTGGTGATTTTGGCCAGAGAGTTAGTATAATGGACGTACTGGGGCGGACGCTAGTACGCGAGGCGTACATCGCGTATGCAGGGCGTACGTGATGGATTCTCAAACCCTAATTTTTAGGGTTTGATCCATATATAATCATCATTTACTTCTCATTTCTCATTCCCTCATCAGCCTCCACCTGAGAAAACGTCCCTTTAGCTAACCCTAAGTGAGAAAAGTGCATCTTGAGCTCATTTTTGTGTTTTGGTGGTATTCTTGAAGAAGAAGAAGGTGGTGGGAATACTTTGGAGTTTGGAAGCAACTTGGATCTAGGATTCTCTCCTTGCTAGCAACCTCCGGGAGGTAAAAAGCTCATAGCTTGATCATCTTATCTTATAGATCTACCCATTTCTTCATTTAAGGCATTTTGGTCCCAACTATGATGATTCTTGAGCATGGCATACTCTTAGTCGAATAAGTCGTCCTTTCAGACCTAATGAGGGGTCTTGAGTCATAAAAATGTGGTCTTGATGCTTCGTTTTTCCCCATGCATGCTCTAGAAGGTCTTAAGGTGTTAAGAAGTTAGGATTCTGTGTATTAAGCACTTAATGGGCATGCAAAGTCATAAAGTTGGAAACTTTATGACTCTTAGTGGTATTTTGGCTTTGGATATGAAATTGGGACATTAGAGCTTAATGCATTAAGCTCTTATTGAAGAAAAAGTAATTTTATGCGTACACTGTGCGTAATCCAGCGTACGCCGCGAGTTCGGGGTCAACCGTCCAACTCCGGTCAAAGCTTGAGTACACCCAGCGTAGGAGCTGAGTACGCCCTGCATACTCAACTGAGTGGACCAAGTTGACCCGTTGACCTTGACCTTTGACCAGAGCTTTGACCAAATGGACCTAGGGGTATTTTAGGTATTTTGAGCTGATTAATTGAGATTAGGTCATTGGTGTTGGTTAAGTGATCGTTGAGCCGATTTTCGGGACTGAGATTTATTCAGCTTGCATTCAGACTGTAAGGTGAGTTTTCCTCAATGTACCGTGGGGCGAAGGCACCAATGTCGGCCCACTAGTTTATGAATCATGGTTATGGGATAGTGATATTCGAGTATTTGGCTGAGTAGTAGATATGCATTATTATCTGTATTTACTGAATTCGTGTTTAATTTATCTGCTTCATATGTCAACATATTGTATTGGGTTGAGGTTGTACTGCTTTGTGTTGTAGCCAACAAACCCAGGAGCATTCCAAATATGAGATGAGGGTCCCGAGTGGCATGCCAGACTCATAATGAGGACTCGGTATCATTCCAAATATGAGATGAGGGCCCGATAGGCATGTCAAACTCGTACTGAGGGCTCAGGGGCAATCCAGACTTATCATGAGGACCTTGCATGGGTATTCCAGATATAAGACGAGGACCCAGTATATGTTGATATATGTTGTGTGTTTGGTACTTTGGGGGAACTTACTAAGCTTTGGCTTACAGTTTTAGTTTATGGTTTAAGGTACTTCCTAGGATCGTGGGAAGGCGAAGGTGTGATCGTACACAACTCCCTGTTTTATGTCACCGGGTATTGGGAAAACTCTGATTTGAAATAATGCTTTTGAAACAATGACTATTTTTATAAACAATGTTGATTAATGGTTTATTTTGAAAATTTAAACTTATTGTGATTTTTGGGATGTTACATATAGTGTTTTAAAAACCGGTTTGAACCGGCCGGTCGAACCGGTTGGACCGAAAACCGGAGAAGTAAACGGTTCAATTAGCACCAGTTTTATGTCTATTTCTGAACCGGAATGAATCAGACGGTTTTTACAAAAACTCGGTTGAACCGGTTAAATTAAATAAAAAACACATGGAAATTGATCATTTTGCATAAAAAAATTGTCGTTTTTTCACATCTTTTTAGATTTTTTTGAATAAAAACAAATGGTAAATGTTATAGGTTTTTTAAATACGTTTGTACTCATCTAGACTATAGTTTGTTTCCGTATTCTACTTTATTTTCTTTTTAATGTACATGGATTGATGTAAAATTTATGGTTATTTGTTTTTTAATATATTTTGATTGATCTACGACTTGTATTTATATGTATTTTTAATATTTAAACGTGTGGATGTCTATGTGTGCAGGAAAATAGGAAAAATAATGAAAATTATAGAAACCAGTTGAACTGGTGATCGAACCGGTTAAACTGGGAACCGGTTACCATACCGGTTCAACTAAAAATCCGGTTTTTAAAACATTGGTTACATAGGATCTTGAGCTAATTGATTTGTTTTCTTCTTATTTGTTAAGCATGTAATTACCAACGATTAGGATGTTCTTTAAGAGAAAAAAACAGAAGAAATATAAGTCGGATCTTAAGATTATCAATTTGTTTTCTTCTTATTTTTGGGGTCTTGAAATTTTTGGCAAGAAACAACGTGAAGTTCTCGAAATTTTTTCTTGTTAGAGACCTTGAGCACCCCCATTTTTTTTTGAATGACCTGAGCCCTTTAGAAAAGGAGCTTTTGCATCATTGTAAAGAGAAATCGGAACAACTAGAAATCAAAGAAAAATCGAGATGTTTTCTTTGTTGATGAATCAATGAATCGTATAAGATTTATGAAACGATTTGCAATGTTTGGCATACGAGCATTTTTTGTATGTATATTCTCCCACGATGACTACATGATACACTTATCACTTTATGATTTTATGAGTCGTGAGGTTGGACATATGAGAATGTCTCAAGAAAAGGGTTAGAAGCATATTACATTGCATCAACTCTTATATTGACTTAACCGACTGACTTTAATGATGTTGTTTGATTATGACTATAATAATGGTATTTTGATTATGGTTGTAAGATGAATAATGACTTATGACTTTTATTTTAGAAAGACTTGTGTTTTACACTAAGGACTTTAAGAGTTTTCAAGGAATTCAAGACTTTCATAACTGTGGGTGAATCAAGATTTTACTTTTATCAAAAAGTTTTTATAAATGAATTTGGGATTTCTTATATGTAAAAGGATCCTGCAAATTCTTTTTATTTCAAAAGTGTGAAATCTCGATATTATTCACTAGACATTCCTAATGGCTAACCTATTAATGACATGGATTTAGATGATAGTAGCAAATGAAGACTTCTAAAAATACATCAATATTATTCACTAGGCATTCCTAATAACTAACCTATTAATGACATGGACTTAGATGATAGTAGCAAACGCAAGACTTATAAAAATACATGGATATTTAGAAGGTCACTTGGTTGTGACGTTGTTTGAACTTATGTAATGATGTGATAATTGTTCCACCCTCTTACTTGTATGATTTGATACTATTAAACTTGTATTTTAAAGATTGTGGAACCTTATTTCCGTAAATGGTAATTTTAAAAATGATAAAATGAATTTAACATGATTTTAGCAATTAAATAAAAAGAGGAGTGTTTCATTATTATCGTTCTAGCGGATCACATTGTCAATATTTTGTATTGATTGATTTTAATAAACAACTTATAAATTTGTTGTGAAAGATTAACTTCTATTTGCTATGTACAAGAGTTAAAGAAACGTAAATATAAGTATAAAGAATTGTTGATGTAAGATGTGTGTCTTACCCTAAGTAGTTTACAAAAATTCAATTAACGTGGTGTTATTTATATACATTTTTCTAATTAAAATAACATTAATTACAAAAATGTTGTTCGATTCATTGGTATTAAACATGAGTAGGGATGAGCATGAGACGAAACCAGTACCAACCGATACCGTTCTCGATTTCTCAAATACCGAATTTATTCGAAAGTCACTCCCGAATACCGTACCAAATTAACTTTACCAGGAATGGTATCGGTACCGAATCCTGAATTTCATGATTTTGGAGTACCGAGTACCGTCCCATATTTTTAAATTCGGTGGTTCGGTTCGGTACCGATTCTGATACGATATTAGTATGGGATCAAGATTTTGGTACAAAATGGCTCCTTTCATCATTATTTCCATTTCTTTTTATAAAACGTTGACATAATTTGTCAAGTCAACAAAAATGGCCACTAGTATAAACTAAGTATAAACTAATTAAAAAGAAAAAAAAAAGAACCAAAAATAAATAAACATATAAAAATAACAAGTTTGCATGAAAAAATTGGAGCATAATTATTAAAAAAAAACATCCGTAAAATAAACAGTTTTATGAATTTCTTACAAATTCCACATTAGAGAAATAAAAAACTGTTCTAAAAAAATTATTGTGTTATAAAATAAAAAAAAATTACATGAAAATATGAGATCAAAATACAAAAAGTTTAGAAAGGAAGTAAAATTCGTAAAAACTACCTAAACCTTTTTCTTTTTTGTTTTTCATGTTGTGTTTCCTTTTTCCGTTTCTCAACTTTCTTCCAGCCGCATAACACACGAAATCGCTGCTGGACCGCCATCGCCGCCATCTTCTCCGTTCATCGTTTCACAAAGTCTTCCTCGACACCGTCAATCTCCTCCGAGGAATTCAGGTAATAAATCGCACAAGTCTCGCCCTTTCTCCCACTAAATCGCCGCTGGACCCCCATTTTGTGTTTCTAAGTTTTTTGAACTGAAAACCTACTCGTCAATATACACGAACTAGTAAATTATAAATATTATAATGAAACGACTGGAAACTATGAGTAGATCAATGCCATATGGAAACAAAGAAGTTTTCTACCAGATATGTATCCTTTCGATTTTGCATTGCATATAAGGTGTTTGAGAGAATTCCTGAGTGGGCTTCCATGCAATTTTAGTTGGCATTGCTTACAGTATGGTTTGCATCTATGTTGTCTGTACTCTGTACCCTGTGATTTGTTTTGATTTATCGTGCTTCATGTTTTATTTGGCATTTGTGGAAATAACAGAACACCATTCAAGAAACACACTGTGTATTTCACGACTAAATGTCTGTTAAGATGCACATAATTGAATTGTCAATTTGTATCACATTCCTAAAGAGGTGACTCACTGTGCTTTAGAACACCAACTTTACAGGTCCAATCATTTCTTTAGTTTGTAGACATTGTTTTGCCAAATTAATTTTCAATATGTGCTTCAATTTCACAATGAATTCCAACACAATAATTCGTTAATATATGAATTATGAGCAGGAAAGGTTCACAAATTCATCCCTATAATCAACACACCTTCTATCTTACAAGTTGATCAAGATGCCTCAAGTGAAGATTATAGCTAAGAATTTCATGGACATGGTGTCCTCCTTACCTGCCATGAAGCTCGACAAGCTATATGAGAATGCCTTCATTTGTGAAGCTATTCTCAGGTTATCTCTTTAAGTCCATCACTTTTTCATTGTTAATATATGTTTGATTTTTGATCATTTACACAATTTGTTAACCACATTTTGTTGTTCAGGTCTTTGCCACCATTGGCCAAAAAGTATGTTCTCCAGTTGTTGTACATAGATGTGCCTGTGTCAGCCAGTTCATTGCAAGAATGGGTTCTTGTTGATGGTGCTTCAAAGCATAGAGTTGCTGTTGATAGACTCATTCAATTGAGAGTATTTACTGAAACTGTTGATAGGTACATGTGTTTGCTTAATTCCCTTTTACTTTTTTTTCTTTTTCAAACAGAGTTCCCTTCACCTATCTGGTTTATCTTTTGATGGATGATTTTTAGTTCATTAGATCATTTCCTACTTCATTTGCCATTCAATTCAAGATTTATATAAAGTCTCTCCCTTTTGAATTAAGTCTATTTGCTGAAGTCCTGAATTGTGTCTGCAGGAAGAAGGAAGCCACTTACAGGTTAAACCTGATGTTTCAGATGAACCTTCGGAAGCATGTTGTTCATGGGTAAGTCATATGACTTAGTGGACTTAATGGGAATATGACTTAAATCACTTAATCTGGTAAGCTATATGTGTGTGTCTCGTTTTGACTTAATGCAGAAAGAATGACTTAATGGGAAAAAAAAACTTATATACCTCTATTGTTGAAACTTGTATCCGAAACTCATCTCCAATGGTGATTGCTTATGTATGTATGTATGTATGTATGTATGTATGTGACATATGAGGTGGATTTTGTAGTGGTGTGTTACCGAGAGAACCTATGGCTGCAAATATAACAGTAAGACTCCCAAGCTTAGAGGAGTTAGACAACTATGCTGCTCAACAATGGGAGGTATGAAACCTTGTATAATCTTTTTTATGTATTTTGTGGTCCTTTCATTTAGGTGCTGTTTGTTTTTTCTGAGGGAAAATGTCTGCAGTCTGCGGACCACATCTGTAGACCTCTGCAGTAGAAGAGGTGGACCAAACGTCTGCAGTCTGAAAAAAGAAGACTGTTTGTTTTTTTAACATCTGCGGGCTACTAAAATAAACTGAAATCTAAATAAACTGATTTTTTCAAATTTCAAAGTGATTTTTTAATATTTTTATGACTTTGTTAGAAATAATTAACGAATCTAGATCAACTTTTATGTATTATTGTATAAAAAATAAAAATAAAATGGTATGAATTAACGTATATATTTGATAAAACCAACAACTTTGGTTGCAAAGTTATAACTAAACATTATAATTAGTGATCAAATAATTTGATACATAACTGGATGGAAATAAACTTCAATTTTTTCAATTAAATCCATTAAAAACGTACAATAAATATTTTCTCGAGAAATTGACGATACTGTATTAAATAATGTTTTACAAAATTTGGCAAAAAAATATAAGAATATATTATGATTTTTTTTTCATATTTATATAAACAACTTTAACGACTATTATTGTAATAATCGTTATTTATAAATTTGTCAAAAATATCAAGTTTGTATCGTCGAACGTTTTTTTTAAGTTTTGTAATTTTTTTTCAAATTGTTTATCATTAATAAAGTTGGAAAAAATATAAATTAAAAAAAAAACTTAAAAAAAATAAAGATATATATGTTTTTTTTAGGGTAGAAGATGTTAGAAGACTCTGGTCCACATCTGCGCCAAGAAGAGGGCGCGCAGACATTTTTAGGTCTGCAGTCTTCAAAAAAATAAACAGTCTGCGAAGGCTAATGTCTGCGCGTGGTCTGCGCGGCGCAGACAGAAGAGGTCACGCAGATCTGCAGACAAAAAACAAACACTACCTTAGTTGTGAAGAATATATTTCGGTTTCTATCTTTAATCATTTTGCAGCTTCAGTATGTTCTCTTTGATGACTTGCTATTGTGGCAATTTAGTGTTTCTTGCTGCATCTCATAAACTCTGCTGAAGTTGAGGTTACAACAAAGAGCATCAGTCCTTCCATGATGAAAGTCTTCCAACGAGGCCTTTTAAGTCAAAGGTGGTTTTTCAAAATTATTGCTTAAAAAGTAATTATATTTTCAAATACCGTTTTTCTCTTTAAAGTATGAATCTTATGATGGTTGATTCACATTTCCATAGGGACAATGAAGGTTCTCGGCTCACAGAAAGTGGTTTTCAGTTCCTGGTATGAAAAATATGTACTTGAATTTATTTATATTCTGTATTTTATTAAAATTATTGATGTCCGTTTTTTTTTTTTTTTTTTTTTTGCATTACAGCTAATGGATACCAATGCACAACTCTGGTATATCATCAGGGAGTATATCAGTAATTCTGAGGTATTCATATTTTTTGCATCTGTAATTTTTCTGTATTCTCTAAATACTATATTTTGAGTCCTTTTTGAACTTTTTATGAACAGGACAGAGGAGTGGACTCTGCAGATCTGATCTCATTTCTGCTAGAACTTAGCTTTCATGTTACTGGCGAGGTATTAATTTTTTTTTAATATATATTTTAAAGCATAAATGTGATTTTTTAATGTAATATATATACCCAAAGGAGGGTTTTGGTTTTGCCGGAATTGGAATTCAATTCCATTCCAATCCCGTGTTTGTGGAGTACGGAATTGAAATCAATTGGAATTCACAAATTCTTTGACCAATGGATTTCTACTTTCCATCTTAAAACCCATGGATTTCGATTCCCAGCATTTCATCCCTCCTTACAGATACTCAAATACCCTTTTAACACTAAAATTTCACAAGTAAATAGTAAATACATGTTTCCCTATTGAGGCTGATATTTTAATTTGAAAACAAAAACAGGCATATAATATGAACACTTTAGACGAGATACAAAGGATAACAGTTAAAGACCTTGCAGACTTGGGACTCATCAAACTCCAGCAGGTGAATGCTACTACATTCTTTTTCCCATATTTTGTAAGGGTTAAATGCAAGAAATGACAATGTACTTTCATGTCCTTTTTTGTCATTTTCGGGTCCTACTTTCATTTCTTCCTGTTACAGTTACAGTAGCACTGTACTTTAAAAAGTCTACCCAATTATAGCAATGTCATCATTTTTCACTGCTAGATTTTTTAAAATACAAGAAAGAAAAATTAAAAAGTATAAAGTAAAGTGTAGATATATTTAAGGATATTCCTTGAGCATCATTGGCATCTTTTGTTTCCGTAGGGGAGGAAAGATAGTTGGTTCATTCCTACAAAATTGGCTACCAATCTCTCTATTAGCTTATCAGATGCATCATCAAGGAAACAGGTACAATATCTCTAAATTCCTGATTGATGATATGTGGCTATGAAAAAAAAACAAAAAATTCCCATATGCTGATGTGGCTACAAAATTCCAATATGTTAAATTTTGCATATAGGAATAAAAGGATTGTTTGCATATATATATATATATATATATATATATATATATATATATATATATATATATATATTGAGAATGTTGAAAAGAATTATGATTTTTATCAGCTGATTTTGTGCTTTTTTCTAGGGATATGTTGTTGTGGAAACCAACTTCAGGCTCTATGCCTACTCAACCTCTAAGTTACATTGTGAAATCTTAAGACTCTTTGCAAGGTACTCTGTTTATATTTTCTGCATGTTCTATTTGCCAAAAACTTCACATTTTTATTTTATTGTTTACTTGATTTCTTTTTTCGGACTATTAAAATCATATTATTTTTTAGTTAGTTACGTTATATGGTGGTTGATTTTTATCACATGATGAATTGTGTAAAACCAATAACTTTCTACAATTTGTAGTTATTCTAGACAGAGGGTCAATAATAATATGGTAATTTTGTGTCTCATTTTTTATGTATAACTTGCACAGGGTAGAATATCAACTTCCTAACCTTATTGTTGGATCCATTACAAAAGAGAACCTCTACAAAGCCTTTTCAAATGGCATTACAGCAGACCAGGCAAGCATCAAACATCCAAATACAAAAAAAAAAAAAAAAAAAAAAAAATGTAATTAATATTTCATGAGTAGGATTGGATTAATGTTTTTGTTTCTTGATTTGCAGATAATTTCATTTCTTCAGCAGAATGCTCATCCTCGTGTTGCAGAAAAAGTGCCATCTGTACCTGAAAATGTCACAGACCAGGTTACTCCCAATTTCCCATTATCTTCAAACAAACATAAAATAAAAAAAATAAAAAAAATAAAAAAACATGTTATTAGTGTTGGATTGATGTTTAGTATTTGATAAACAACAACAGATAAGGCTGTGGGAATCAGATCTAAACAGGGTAGAGATGACACCTGCACATTTCTTCGATGATTTCCCATCAAGGGTAAGAAAATACTTTCATTTATTTGAAAGTAGGATGCTATAAAAATATAAATAAATAAAAGTAGGTTGTTATTTAACTCATATGAATTCTTTGTTTGTAGGATGTGTTTGAAGCAGCATGCGACTTTGCAAGAGAATACAGCAGTTTGCTATGGGAAGACTCCAAAAAGATGCAACTTATAGTCAAAACTGAAATTTATGCACACATGAAAGAATTTCTCAGCCATCAAAAATAGCTCTCTGCTGCATTACTTATTATTATTTATTTTTTTTGATAAAGTTTCCAGATTTAATGAAAATAATATATATATATATATATATATATATATATATATATATATATCCCTTTCACTTTGTAAATCTAATATTTCACATGCATATTTGTGTATCATGTGGTTTTGCACTGATCAAGTGTTTTTTGATTGTATGCTTAAATATAGCAATGTTGTAATGCATTTATGTAAATATTTATGAGGATAAATGGGTAATCAAATGTATCCCAACAAAAGTCGGTTATATGAAAAAAATGCAAGAAATAACAAACTATTATTTATTTATTTATTTTATTATAGCCTCTTGTTTTAATTTCATTGTCTTATCGTATTTTACATATATTTATCAAATATTACATAAAGTAGTCCATTTAAAATTGGGTAGTTGTTTTAATTTTATTGTCTTATCGTATTTTACATATATTTATCAAATATTATATAAAGTAGTCCATTTAAAATTGGGTAGTTGTCTTGTTTTAATTTCATTGTCTTATCGTATTTTACGTATATTTATCAAATATTATATAAAGTAGTCCATGTAAAATTGGGTAGTTGTTTTAATTTCATTGTCTTATCGTATTTTACATATATTTATCAAATATTATATGAAGTAGTCCATGTAAAATTGGGTAGTTTAAAATATGATGTATGTTTTAAAAAACAAATGAAATTGAAAGTTTTTTTTATTGAACATTTTATATATAGATAATAAGATAGCTAAACTTTTTAAAAAAATTGAATAGGGTTTACCATATAAAAAACTATATATTTTTAATTTTATTTATTTTTTATTTTTTTTAACTTAAAACTTTTTTTATTCTAAAAAATTCTAACCTTTTCAATTACAGCCAACAAATTGTTTAAAAATTGAATTATTATTCAATTTCAAATTAGAATGCAAAGAACCTTTATTAGCAGACACAAAACCTCAGTCTCTAAAACCTTATGTTTGCCAATTGAAGGTTTTACATCTCTTAATTGGAAAATGAATAATAATACATTGTTCAAAGATTTTGTTGACTCTGCTATTAAAAATAAGTTAAAAAATCTAATAAGATTATTATGGACTATCGTCACTTTTAAAATTGAAAATGTTTCTAATAGAAAATCATGGAAGCTGAAATTAGATACCAAACATATATTGAAGTTTGTAAGTCGTCTTTTCTTTTTGATTTTGAAAAACCATATAAGATACTAAGTTAACCTTAGACCGTTTTCTTCCCTGCTGTAAGTTGTTTTTTCTTTTTGATTTTGTAAGCTGATTTTTGATCTATGCTGCTTTCTTTGAACATTAGCAAATAGATTTTGATATATGTTTTTTCTAACAAGATATTATTTCTCTTTAACTAAAAATATGAAATGTTTCCTTCTGATTATGATGTTGTAACATCGCTAGCACAATAAACAAGAAAAACAAGGAATCATGAGCTAAACAAGTGTGTCAAATGTGAGTTTTTTCAAGTAAGTTGGAAGTTTTTCCAGGAAAAAATAATGTAAAACCAAAAGATTATCGGTAAACGTACTCAGAAAATAAGAAAATACAAGGGAGTTTTGTTTTTGAAAAAAAAAAAAAAACGTTTTGATTTAACAAAAAAAATCAGAAAATACAGGCGTTCTATACAATTAACCCTTTAGAAAAAGGGTAGCTGTAAAAAATGATTTTAATAATCGACTAAAATTAAAGATAACCCCAAAAGAAAATATGAAACCAATTGTCAAGATTATCATTAACGAGAACTCCAAAAGCTTTGTGAACCAAACTCCAAATCTATACATAAATTTACCATCAGCAAAGCTTAAGATTCCAACTCACTCACGATCCCAAGGGCATAACAGACATTTAGTGTGTCACCATTCAAGCATATCATATTCATATACATATTTACTACATACAATTACCAAACAACCCTTTTTTATGTTGCAAGTAAAAACTATCTCCACTTCAAACCCCGTGCCCACAACAAACTCTCAGGCCGGGTTCATCTAACCACCCACCAGTACCACCAAATAAAGAGGGGTAGATACGTAAATTAGTCAATTTGCTTACATCAAATGCGAATCATAGGTGTCAAAATTTGAGTCAGGGACAACAAGAGGCAGCTTGTCTATATACATGAACAATCTTTTCAGATTTTCTCTTGTTATTGTGGCCATGTCAATTGTTTCCTTATAGTCAACATACACCCACAACTCCCCCGAGTCGACTCGCTTTAGACTCACCCGGCAAAACGGGCATGATAGCGACCTTGTACGCCTTCACAAAAATCAATATTTTTTTTTTTAAAAATTTTGTTGCAAAAGCATAATATGCATTTATTGATAAGATAAAGAATCATACCAATCGTTATAGCAGTTTGAGCACATGGCATGGTTACATTTTGGTAAAACAAGTTTGCCATTCATCTCCATGCAAATACCACATTCTTCTTCACGTTCAATGTCAACATCAGAACACCGATTATAATCTTCATCTTCTCTTTTCTTATACCTTTCCATGCATACCTTCTTCTGTTTTTTCTCTTCCGAATCACTCACACCATTTTGAAGTTGCATCAAAGATGGATATATAATACCTATCCATCATATCATCATCCTAAACATCAACTCCTTAAAACAATTAAAAAAAAACATAGTAGATGTAAAACACAATCTTCTTAAAAAAGATAGGACTGGGAGTGACACTCATGTCAATGGGACAAAAATAGATATAGAAAACGGTTTTGTTAAACTTTATAATTGGATATTAAATCATATATCAATTATGTTTGGCAAATTGGGATTATACCATAGAATTCTCTTATGCTAGCCTTCCTTTCATGAGTAGACATGGTGGTGGTGCCATCTGCATAAACCTGTAGTGTATGCAAGCTAGAAACTTTATGAATGGGAATTAATCAAATTATATATCTCATAATTCATAAATAAAACGAATAAAATGCTAGAAAGAAGTTTGAATTTTGACCTGAAAAATCAGGATCCGCAAGAGTCCAAGAGCACCGGCCAGGTGGCAATCAGACCATTGAACGAAGAAAAGAAAGAACTGTGCAGCCGGGCTATAAGACATTCTCATCTGAACACAGGCACCATCATACTCCCTTGGGAAATCAGATGCCCTGTACCTCATAAACCAAACCATGGATTTTAGGGTTTTTTTTTCAACTATACCCTCAAATTGACAAACAAAGAGCAAATCGTAGCATAAGAATAAATGTTAATTCATACAAGTTGAAAGAAACAGATTGAAATTCAATTAGTCTTGGAATTTTTATGATAGAAAGCTGCTTTTGTTGATTAAAATAGTGAGATACCTTTATCCCATATAGAAGCAAAGCAACCACTAGAGTCGAACATAAACCAGATACATGTGTATTTCTGACTATGAAATAACTCGTAAATCCATATAAAAAAAACCCCAAATTCATCGAAGAGATTAAAAGCCCAGAGACTAAATTGAAGGATTTACGAATAGAACATTGAATTTCGTAAAAGGAAATCACGAGAGGAAAAGATAGGGGAATGGTTGACTTCTTACAGAGTATTAGCATGTTGAATATCCGCTTCAAGGAGTTTGAGAGAATCCTTGAACGATTTTCTCATTGATCCCACATACATCTCTTTTCTATGTTTCTTCCACCAAAATAATTACACAAATTCACACACCATCTACTGAGATTTGTGATGACTTTCTCTCTCTAAAAACCCTAGAATTGTTTTCTCTCTCTAGGAGTGGGGTGAGATCAGTGGTAACTTCTCTCTGTTCTCGAGAGAACTGAAGAAGAAGAACTGTGTCACTGTCAAGCTGACACGTGGATAAGAAGCTGGTGGAACTTTGAAGTTTTTGGATTAATAGGATCTAGTGGTAATTATAATACTAATAATTGTATAAAAAATAATTAAAGTGGTTATTATGAAAAGAATCAATTCTATTAGATTATCCTTCAGTTCACTATTCCAATTTCCAAATAATTGTTTTGTTTTTGGTATTAAATTTATATAGAATTTCATAACTAGTCCCTTAAGTTTTCCTTAAGTAACATCTCCTCTGATTTTGTATTCTTGATTTGCATTTCGTCATGAATTCTGTTTCTTTCTTAACGCCATTTATGTTAACTGCAATGTTGTTAGCACATTTTTTTTAGGAAATTAAGTAATCTAACCCATATAAATGAACAATTTGATAACAATAATCAATTTTTTGTAAATTTCGTAAAATAACCAATTACTCTGGAATATCGTATTCCGGAGTGGGTGGTGATTGATAGATATCGTGTTCGGAATCTGACATTTGTAAATTTCGGACTGAAAAATTGTATTTTGGACTATGTATTCTGAAATAGTGTATTATGAAAAAGCTATGTTCATTTCAAACCATCATTTATGAATTATTCTTCGTATTCCGAACTATGTTCAATGTATTCCGGAGTGATAATGTCATTCCAAAATCACTAATAATATGTAATGTAGAATGTATTCCGGAGTGACAATGTCATTCCAAAATCACTAATAATATGTAATGTAGACTTATTATCTCTCAAATAAGTGGCACCAATACATTTTCAGGCAGTTATATAGTTTCTATATGGCTAAAAGTAAAAACCCATACAAAATTTAGATATTCCAGACTGGTTTCTCGTATTTCGGACTTGATATATGCATTCTGGAATACATAAAATTGTTTCGAAAGTAAAATGCAATTAAATTAAAGAGTAAAACTCACCTGGTTTGTTGAATCAATTGTAGATAAGCTTAAAAAGCTCTGTCCAAAATACCGATAGCTAGAGCTTCAAATTTTCACTCTTCGGAATGTTTATTTTTGTTTTTGAGTGTGGGTCTCATATATATATATATATATATATATATATATATATATATATATATATATATATATATATATATATATATATACTATTGGGCTACAGTTCCATTTTGGTCAGCTCTGAAATGTCCATTTTGAAGAGACCGCTTAATTTTAAA